GCTGTAAAAAATAACTTGTTAAAAGAACTTATCAAAATTTTTGATAATATTACCACAAATCCTTATGAACAAGATGCATAATGGAAAATGTGATAGCAATAGTAATTAAATTTATGTTGTCTTTATTCTTTCCAGTAATTAAACTATTATAAAAAATATCACATCGTTTGACTAAATTTGTCATATATTCTGATCGTTTACTACTTACATCTCGATATTCGATAAGATTTTGTTTAATTTCTTTAGTTATATCTTGATCAAGCTCTTTTTCAACTTCATCGCGTTTAAATATGGTTTGAGATCTTTCAGGTAGTAGTGTAAATATATCTGATTCATTCTCTGGGAAATATTTTGTGATTAAATCGGCGATTAGTTCTGTGCATTTCAATGTATCTTTTGAGATTATATTGATAAATTCTGCGATGCGAGTATCCCAAGACATCTTTTTTTCGTTTTTGATTTGAATGAAAGCGTTATAAGTTATTTATATATGAAATTTACGTCACAATTACACCTTATTAGACAAAAGTGAAATTAATTACTTAAATTTATTGATGTCAATAATTTAATTTTAATGTGTAACTTGATTATTGATAGGTTACAGATTTCCAAGCAGATATTCAGCAACACATATTTCTTAAATTATCGACTTCAATAAAATTGTTTACATATTACATTATTGATGTTAATGATTTAGGATTTTCAGTTATTTTTTGTCTTTATAAGGTATAATTGTTGCTTTTAGATTTTTGCACCGTACTGTACGTACCTACGTACGTAACAATTTGCACGTATGTTGTTGTGCGAATTTAATTGTTGCATCATAATTATGCTATTCAATGATTACATTTATCGTAATAGATTATTACTCCATTTCTTTGATTAATAATGTATTATAACTAAATCGGGTGTAGAATGGAAATACTGTAAATATATCAAAATAGTCCTTAAGTGGGAGGATAAGTAGTTAGCTAAATAGATAGGTAGATAATAAGACGGAAAGGTTCAACAAAAAGCATAACGCGAGTATAAGGTTGAACACACGGTTAACAGAATTCCCAATAACTCTAATGATTAAACTCTCCTTAATGTCCAACTATCATTAAACCCCGAAGCTCCTAATAAAGCACTAATCCCGCATAACTTATCTTGTGTCCAAAGCTAAACCGCACTGCTCACTTATCGCTCTCTCCAATCCTGGGCACTACAATGTGCGTGTAACACGTATGTATCACGAAAACATTTCGTCACATGTACGTACGTACGTATATAACAAATACGTAATTAAGCAATTCTAGACCTGTAAAAGGATAGATCATCAATGAATTTAGCTGACAAGTGTCGCAGTAAGATACGTACAGTATGCAGATCTTTTATACGAATCTCACCAAGAAATGGACTTGCTTGACTTTGTACTTTTACTGTGCATCTTACAGGCCCTATCCATCTTCACTTTAACGACACCTATCAATGTCCACAGGGAAAGTTATTTAACTTATCGTTAATGTCAGTTTTTTACTCAAAGCTAATTTCTTTAGTATTTTCATTCAATACAAGATGTAATCATGTCACTGATGCAGCCTCCATAAATTAATTCGTGACACTAGTCATCTTTATATTACCGTGCAGTATAGACAGCATATTTGTGCCAAATCTTACACCACTATACGTACGTTGTGAGGGGCAAAATCAATCCTGAATCTCAAAATATGGGCCTCACAGATATCAACTAAAGCAAAACTAATCTAAATCAACACTACAACAGCTAAACTCTATCCAACCCTAATGTGAAAGGAACGAAAGAGGGCGTGGAAAGACTTGGTCCGAGTTATTAGAGCTCTAGACTACGTCACGAGGCTCTAATTAGGAATCACGGTATTATAAGTTTATTATTAGGGAAGTAGGAGAACGAACTTTTATGAGTTAT